ATGAGCAAGGACGTGTGTGTATTGCTTGATGCACTCACAAGTGTGAATAATGGTACATGAGCGCACATGTGCATATAATGGTAGATTCGCGTGTAGGAACATATTTGTGCAAATACAATGGTACATGCTCATGCAGGTGTGTGTGTGTATTGATATATGCTTTGCAGGTACATTTGAACATGCCTATGTAGGTTCGTATAGTGGTACATTTGCGCAGGTGCGTATAAAAGTACAGGTAAGTATATTAGTACATGAGCAAGGACGTGTGTGTATTGTTTGATGCACTCACCAGTGTGAATAATGGTACATGAGCGCACATGTGCATATAATGGTAGATTCGCGTGTAGGAACATATTTGTGCACATACAAATGCAAGTAAATACAATGGTACATGCTCATGCAGGTGTGTGTGTATTGATATATGCTTTGCAGGTGCATTTGAACATGCCTATGTAGGTTCGTATAGTGGTACATTTGCGCAGGTGCGTATATTAATAAATGCGAGAGAAGGTGCTAATTTTGGTACATGCGCGCGCAGTTGCGTTTATTGGTTCATGCATGTACAGATGTTTAAAAGCTACCACGGGTATCGAAACCTGGTTTCTGGCGTTATAAGTCCGCGGACATATTGCTGTGCCACTGGAGGGGGGGGGGGCGCACTCAGAAGTGAAATGAACTTCTATTCCAATTTCTGATAATAGTATTGTGTAAGTTCATGTACTTTACGTTCGAGCTTCGTTTGCTTAATGATCCTAATTAACTTAGAGTTGAATGGCCCAGTGCTGAGTATTCCAGATTAGGGATAGTGACCTGTTACAGCAAACAACAACAATTTCACTCCACCCTTTGGAGCCACAGTTGTGTTATAAAGGTGCTATTTAGCATAACAGTTATAAACTTTCAGACCATGTATGACAAGAGGGCACTGTGACAGTCTCAGATTGGTCATTATTTGTTGAAGCACAAACACAGACCTTTTCCAAAATAATATCACAATTTCTCAGTTATGGTATATTTCTGGTATCTTCTTGAAATATCAGTTCAGAATGAGAGATGGTTATACACAGGTAATTTTTTGCAAAAATTCTAAAACAAAACTATTCATAGTTGTAGTGGTTGAACTGTACGAATAAAATAGTTAGACCAGGCATGGCCTAATGGTAAGCATTATAGACTGTCAATCTGAGTATACATGGTTTACCTCCAATTATTAGAAAAATATTAAAATTGCCACCACACTGTGTCATGAGTGATATTCAAATCCTGGTTTTAGAGTAGGCCAGAAATTGGTGGTTGGTACTGTTGACTAGCTGCTTTCCCTGAATGTTTAATCTTATTGAGATTTTAGAAGTACATAATAAGTGGATCAATGAAATTTGCTTAAAGCCTAAGAGTGCATGTTAGAAAATGGTGCTATGTCAAAAATATGGAATTTTGCACAATATAAAGCTGTGTGCCTTAAGATATATTTATCTAACTTTTTTCAATAAAATATTTATTTTTCTCCTTCAAAGATCAAAATACCTCTAGTTTAAAGTTTTTTGTTGTGGGTACTTAAAATTTTTTATCCTGGTAACCACTGCTTTCATGTACTTAACCATTTACTTGTTTCAATAAATTGTTTATTGTAATAGAAACCGTGTCTGATTTTGTTTTTATAGAAAGTTTCACTGGGAAACAATTGAAAATTTTAAGGAATACTCAGACTAAACGAAAAATTTCAATGTAATACATAAAACAAGTTGGACAGACTTAGTTTACTTATGAGATTTCTTCTCCAATATATAAAAAATTTATCAATAGTAACAAACCTCTCTTAAATAAGTATGGAACAGCCAGATTCTGAAGTGAAACTGAGGTATTGGTAATAGTAGTAAACTCATACAACTACTTCAAGTTATGTAATTAAACTTTATATAATTACCTAATGCTAAATGTCACAAATGCAATTTATAATTATAACTTTCTACAGTATACAAATTAAACATATTGGTAAGTGTGGGTATTAAAAAAAAAAAGAGAATTCTTAATCTATTACTCCAGAAACATTCTACTGTTTAAATGTACAGGGTTTAAATTAAAATACATTGAGATTTCCAAAGAACTACTGACAGAAATCTAGATGTGTAGTTCAGAATGTGATATATAATTCACATACCTTTAAATATATTTACAAAGCTTCATATTTTACTCACAACTAATTTAATTAGATGCAAGACTGCAAACAGATAAAATTATGTGAAAAGCTATTCAGAGTATTACACTAAATAAATGATGATTAATAAAGCTATATACTCAAAGCAGTGGTTTAATTTTGAATTAACTAACTTCATGTAACATGAGCAAGTAAAAATAAATTACAACATATATGGAAAACTGATTAGCCTATAAAAGTTACATGAGTACATTTCATAAGTTCTATAGCTGTGAATATTAGCCTATCAAAAGTTTTAAATGTTAATTAACATTTTAAATGCCAATACAATTTGTGATATTTCTTTTTGAAAATACTTAGATAGTTTAATGTTAAATTTTCATTACAGAGAAAAAGGAATTATTGTTAATATATACGATACATTTAGAGATGCAGTATTGTTGTAATATTTACATTTGTAAGCTTGTAAGATAAAATGATGGAAAGTTACACTACAAAAGGTTCTTTAAATCAAGACTTTCCTAAAATGTTTACTCTGTGTATCTGTGACCTACGAAATGATTACAATTAAATTTTTAAAAAGAAAGGTTTTTAGAGTACCTGTTGCTAGGAGTGTTTGGCACAAAGAGCTATAAACAACTCTACTGATTTTAATTAAACCATGGCACAGGTAAATATGTGCAAGAAAACTCATTTCTTGTTAAAAGATTTGATATAAGAGCAATTATAGAAATTCATGACCATAAAAAAATCAACCTTATACAGAAATTTACTCAAAAAATTAAAATAGATTCTTCAAATTGTCAAATTTGTGGATAGCAGATATAAACTGTGCTTTTGAAGGTGATTAAAAACCCGAAAACCATGTTTCATAGAAGAAATCTCTTCATACTTAAGCAACAAAAAAATATGTAATTTTGAAATAATAATTATAGAAAAAAAAACAGCTAAATACACTTCATAACAATCAAATTGGTAATCAAAAATACTCAAGTCTTAATAATGGCCAATATCTCTAACACATGGTCAAAGTAATTTAATCCCACATCAACCACAACAATTTTATGGGCTAGAATGAATTGAGAACTAAATAATAAAGAAATACTGCAACATACTTGTTGGCCAAAATAAATTCTTACAGCAATTTAAACTTTGTACTTTTAGTAAGTTATGTTGAAGAGCTAAAGTTCAAACTGTCTTTGTAAATTTATGGTGCTAATATATATATATATAGCTGTTAATATAATACAAATCTAATTTGATCTTGATGTCTCAACAGAAAAAGCATCCACAAAGTGTATCCAAAGATGTTTTGAAAGCCTTTAGAACATTCAAACCATCACAATACTGTAATTGTGATATTTAATTTACATTTAAAATAGTTTCAAAAAGGTACAAATTAACTTGTATATCGTATGAAGTAGCTCTAAAATGATCCTTTAAAATCCTGAGTATGCATTCTTTATTAAGTAAATTATTAATGATTCAAAATTATTTACAAAAAAATTTAAATATAGAATTGCCTAAAAATATGTTTCGGTACCATTTTGTATAAAACACTTAGAAGTTGAACTTTCTCTTACAAAAGTAGTTACATCATGCTTTCTGTAGTTATTTGTTCATAAATATTTGGAGTTGAACACAATCTCAGTATACTTATCCTAAACGTATTATAACATACTGCTAACAAGATTGTATCTTGTGTGGTACTATTGTGCTTATGGTTGAAAACATTTCAATACCAACCAGTGTATAAAACTAACAAAAAAAAAAATAGATTTTTAGTTATTGTTATGCATGTGTAATATATTCATTGATATACAGCTGATTTATATAGTTCAGAAGTTTTAAGCAATTAAAATAACTTTGTTTTCGGCCTGTACAGAGAAAAATCAGTTGCAGAAGTGATTTCTTTTAACCAACATACATGATGTATTAAATAAATATCACTCATACATTATAATGTCTACTCAGAGGGACTCTTGATGCGACATTATTTACTAAATACACTAGTAACCAGCAAGTTCAAAAATGGTTAAATCGTAAATATCCACATAATCCTTACTTTATTTTAATATGATCAAGTAAGTACTTTACTTTGTTCAGTGGGCACAAAATGAAAGGTTCAACAAATATATAAAAAATAACAAACTACAACTACAGAAAAACATCTAAGTTTCAGTTTCTACTGCTGAAACAGTTGGCAATGTTTCATAAGTTTGAAAAATCCATTTTATATTTCAAAAAAAATATTAAAACACACAAACAATTCATAATTTAAAAGTATAAATGTGACCCTACAAATACATTTTCCAACACTGTGACCTTTTTCTAGTTACATAACTTTTTTAACGAGTGTTATGTTTGCAGCTGCCACATTTTAGTGAACACTTATAAGTGTCTTCCACACCACAAACCAATGACTATGGAACACAAAATTCACTTTTAAGCCCCATTACATGAGAAAAAACAAATGTATCTATTTTATGCTTGTTATAGCCTGTTATCATTGTAGAAAGTCGGCTTACTTTCATTACAGAATCTGGAATGACATTATACATTTTGAGAAAGATTATTTTCATGTATTTATTTCACAAAGTTTGAGCTATATAAGTGTAGATTAGCTTGTAGAATAACAACTAACATGTTGTTAGAAAAAAAATGCGTTTAAAAATATTCAAGTACTTCAAAAGTTCACCCAGGATTCTGTATTTAGGAACTTAAAAAGTAATAGTATGATAAACTAGGTCTAAAGATTACAACAAATGCTAACAATATAATGTAATACTTTTTTCATTTTTTTGCACTGAGTGAAGATTCATCAAAAAAAAAAATTATACTTTAGCACAAATATCCAATTTCATGATTTTTTAAATTAAGAATTTAGTTTTATAAAAACTGAAATTTTAAGGAATTTCACATTAATTCCCAAAAGGATCCCAACACAGTCCTACTTACAATTGTCCACAGCACTCTTTTCCAAAAAGTGTAAGTTAGTTTACGAGAAAGAAACTGATGCTGTTAACATAGTCTTAGAATTTATCTATTGTAAGTAGAAGGAACAACTACACTGTTGAATAACGGTACTGAGCTGAAGTTTCAGCACACAGCCTAACACATACAGAAAATACAAACAAAAAAACCAATCAAGTTACTGCCCTGGATGAGCAACCTGAAGGATGGGTTTTTCCTAGTTGGCAAAGGACATCAAATATTGAAAGTTGTTAGTGGAGATCTTGAAAGTTAAATCAAAAGAAGATATGGCTCACTAACTGTGCTAAACTGGCTGGTGATTTGGCTGGAAGTTGTTTGTCTTGCTTGAAAGCATCAGGTGAAAGAGTGTTAGTCTTGGTGATCAAGTCATGGAGTAGTGGTGTGGTGAAACTGGGTTAACAAGATTCAAAGAGAAAAAATATATGTGAAGATCATGTTAGTTACAGTGGATTGAAAAGTTAATTATGATTCTTGATCACAGCCTTAAGTTGTTTTTTATGCTTCCCTACACTTTATTAATAAAATAACTTTTGGAATAATGAAAATAATATTAGTAATCATGAAACTATATTATAGTAGTCAATATCTAGATGTAACGATAATGGATACATGTATATTAAAAAGACAACTATTGGAAGGTCATAAGAAAAGTAGTTATACTTGCCTGTTAGTGTGAAT